GCTATCAGTGCGATGCCGTGCTTTCCCCATGGGATTTCCCTGTCTTGCTGAAAAATGTTCTGTGCTAATATCACTCATTGTAAAGGCTTTATATATCTAGGCGTCAGTGATGAAACGATACTGGTGCACTGGTGATAGACGTTTCATCCATAGTTATGTGTTCCATAGTTAGTAAAATGAAAACTATGTAAATGGTTCTATTGCTTGAATACCCCTGGCATGCTACTTCTCTGACTCATAAACAGCCTGTCATACGTCAAACATGGAACCCCTTCGCCCTCCATCGCTCTGCTTGTGGCTTCTTCCAAGGTGTGCTCGTCTGAAGCCACCTGTGCCTCTGGTTCTGGTCACCTCTATTAGCTCACGCAGCCTCCTCTGGTAGAGGCTGTGGTTGGCAGGGACGGGTGCTTGCCCTTTCAAGATCAAGTACACAGTTTGAGTACACTCAGGACCCTGTGTGTCCACCTTAGGGAGTCTAGCAGGCCTGCTTTGAGGACTGACGGACTTGATGTTAAGGTTTGTGCAGCGGGCGGTGCAGGATCCCCCAGTCCAAGCCAGCCACTCAGAACCTTGGGTGTAAATGATTTTTCTTTGTGTTTTTCATTGTCGTGCAGACATTAAAGTCATTACACATGTACCTTAATAAATAGGCTTTTTTTTTCTCTGCTTCTTTGTTGAAAATGAGTCATTAGTAATTATCAATAATGGTCAGTATTGACTGAAATGAAACATTGCGTCATGAGTAATTTTTCACGCCGTCCCATATATACCTAAACCTTTTTCCCAACAACAAAGAAAAATGAAGAACATGTCAATCCATGCTAATCCCCCCTCGCCAGCTGAATAATTCATAGTCAATTAGGGCTGAGAGGCTGAAGCAGTCTTCATGGCACAAGTGCATTTTCAGTGATTCATTTCATGAGCTATGCAAGGGGTCTCTTAATTGTTGTTTACTGCTCGCTATCCGACCACATGTTATTTTTATGCCATCGTGATTACTCCCGGCAGTGCTCAGAGTGCTTGGGAAATGAAGTCCATTAAGGGTTCCTGAGAGCTGTTTTCCTGTCAAGCATCATGAAACGCTTCCAGATTCAAACTTCACTGCACAAGAACAATAAATCTCAACCAATCCTAAGTGTCAGTTGGCGAAAATGAGGCACTTGAAAAGATGCAGGTGATGTGTTTTATGGCGGTGCGGCGTAGGAAAAATACCTGCAGTGTTGTACAGAGATGCATTTTTAATTGGTTTCCCGAGGAACATTTTAGATTTCAGAAAATGACATGGAAGGAAGATACGCAGCTGAAGCAGACGAGTTTTACAAAGTGCAGGTCGATGGCATCGACAGAGGAGCATTTTTTGACTTTTTCTTTGAGCGGCACACTATATGTGTGTGTGGCAGAGAGAGTGAGAGGACTGAATGCCTGAGGTCACTGCTGACATAGTGTAACAAGCTGTAAAAGCGCAGTCTGGATTCTTTTGTGACAGACGACTCCTTTGACGAAAATAGGCGGTTTGATCTGAGAATAGCACCGCTGCCCTCCAGTTGACACACTGAGGAGGACTTTTTTTTGACACCTCATGCCTCAACAAATCATCAGCACCCACTTTCGACTGTCCCTCCCGGTCATCTAAGCATTGTCCGCACACGTGACTAAACAGACACCATGTCAAACATTCACACAGACATTGAAGGCCTCCCGTCTTGTTGTTGTACCTCTGGCCTGATGC